CCCCTTGCCCGGCAGTCGCAATTGAGATCACTTGGCCAATGAAGCCTCTAATTACATAGAATTAAATGTTACCACTTAAATTAAAACGACACGATACAAAACCACACACTTTCAAAGAAAGTAATATCGGAACAATATTCAAAACCCTTTCATATCCCTTCTATTAGGCTGTTGTCAAGTGACGTGGTTTCAGCGAAAATCTATTTAAAATTTCATAAATGTCTGGGCTGGCTACAAGTTTCCCGAGTTCCCGTTAACATTGTATATTTATAAGCAATCCTGCCCCGTACCCCTTTTTCTCGCCACTACATCGTAACGATAGAATATAAAATATACCATTATTAACCCGTATATAGATCTGAAGGCCTAGTGCAAGTTTTTATACAATCTTGTATTTAATTTGCAATGTATGTATGTGTGTGTGTGAAGTGGAATCTTGATCTTTCGAAAGCTTTTTTAATGAAAAAGCAAGATACCCCAAATTGTGAAAGATGTGTTATTATTGATGATGTCCAACACATGATAGTAGAATCTACCAAATATGTTGGAGTTTGAGAATCACTGATGAGTGAATTTAAATTGAATGCGTTAGATGTTGGTTGTTTTTCATCTATTCTAGCGAATTCCACTTCGTCTGCAGCCATTGTCCTATATTAGATCTTCATACATCAGTGATATTTTGACCAATCTAGTTAAATAAGTATGTTAGATGTAAGAAAATATGTCCTTACGGGGCTTACATGTTCCTTAACGAAAGTACCTAAAACCATAGATAATAAAAAAGTCCCTAAATATTGATGTAGTTATTGTTAATTGATTAAACTGAAATTTTGTATACACGTTTAGTTTGCACGACCATAACTGCGTAAAAACTTGCCAATAAAAAGTTTTTAATTTATATAAATTTATACTTTTACGCGATCGAAACATTAATGCGTTCAGCTCTCTGATTGGCTATTCCAAGTTAACTAACCAATCAGAGGACGAAACACGAACGTTTCGATAGCGTTACTGTAAAGTAATGCTCGTACTAGGCCTTCTGAATATTTTATGTAAATAAACTTTCAAGTTAAGGTTGACGTGGTTAATAATTAAAATAGTTTTGGGTTCTTTTGTTTATTTAAACTTATAATGGAGGTATACTATTATACATAGTTTAAATAAATAAAGTCCTACATGTTTATTTTGTTTTCATTTAATTTTTTTTTTATTGCCTTGGGAGCTAGAGTGATCAAAGTCGTTCGTGTCAATATAGCTGCAAAGTATGAGGCGTTGAAGATTTATTTATTTACTTAAAATCCACTACATATTTTCACACAGTGACATATTTTCTTTACATTAGGCAGGTCGTTCGTCGCTAGAATGGATTGGATGTAAAGAAGAATGGCCAGTATCAAAACCATGATAGACAATAATAAAGATGATTATACGAGGATTTAAGTGTGGGAAAGCTATGGTTCGGCACCAATGGGCCGCCTCGACCGGAATGATACCACGGCCTCACAGAAAGCCGACGTGAAGCAATAATTGTGGTATATTTCGCCGCGTTAGTGAGGTTATCGGAGGCCCAATCACACCCCTTCCCCAATGTCTCCAATCCCTGAATCCCCAACAATCCTGAAATTCTTAATTCCTAAAAGACGGGTAAAGCACTTGTGACGTCTCTAGTGTTCTAGGTGTCCATCCATGGGCGGCACCGATTGCTTACCATCAGGTGATCCGTCTGCTCGTTTACCGGCTTATCTCTTCAAAAGAGGAGTAGATACTTGTATAACTAATTTTGAGATCACGTTAATTTATCATTACTAATACTAATTACTTAAGAAATCCAGCCATACATTCAATTTAAGTATCCACTCTTAATAACATAACATCACGCCTTTTATTCCTGAAGGTGTAGGCAGAGGTGCACATTATGCTACTACACAATGTGACACCCACTTTTCACTATTTATGTTATGAGTCCCATATAATAGAGGGTGAGCCTATTGCTATATACCAGGCAAAATTCCAGACTCCGTGCTACTATTGAGATTTTTTTTAAAACCCAGTAATACTTTGCCCTACCCGGGAATTGAAACCGAGAAACCTTCAAATTCAAAAAAAAAAACGATCCAAAAATTCTCAAAATGAAAATCGTGGTCACAGCTGAAACACCAGTAAATAATAATGTAAAACAAGGCCTTTCAGTTATACAAATTTCAGTAATTTGGTGTCGTATTCCACTGAAGTTCAGTGCCTCTTGTTGGTCGGCACTTAGTTCGAAAATTGCTTTTGTTTATTTGACCCCTTATCTGTCTCTGAAATATAAACTATACCGACTGAAAATTACATTATAGTAGCCTGAAATTTGTGAAAAGATACATTTCTGAAAATTGTGTTTATATTACAGTTGAGTATGTTTTAAATTAGGTGTATTAAAGTGTCTCTTGGCAAACATATTTTACTCATACAGCGGTACGGTACGTGCTTATAGTAGATTGCATTTAAATAGGTAATGGTGACCACATATCATCATGTGGATCAAGGTAAAAAAATACATACATTATATGGTAAGGTAATAAAATACATACAATACATTTGGCATACGAAAATAATTATTTAACATAGGTTTTTTTTGACTACGCCCTTTTTAAGATTCATCTTAATTTTCAATTGCAATTTAAAAAGAATTTAATCATTCTTTGCCCGCCAACAGAATGTTGAAAATTCGTCTACAAAGGTAATAATAATATAAAGGTGAAAGACTTCTAAAACTATTTCACTATAATTTAATTTAAACACAAATTTAACTCCGATAAGAGCCACGTAGCAGAATTATTAATCTGCACATATACTAACCGAATTTTCTTCACTAAAATACGTTACTGAAATTTCTGAAATGGTCGAAATCTCATTAAATCTGTATGCGGGCTAAAGATCTCGAAAATTCGCTGACAAAAGTACGCTTTGACGAACATGATCGGAAAATCCAAGTTGCAGGTAAAGTGCAAACTATTTGATCGTGCTATCAGAGTGGTATCGAGTAGGTGTGCATCAGATAGTTTCACGGCTATGGTAGAAATTTTAAGTATGTTCGATAGTATTGGAGACTACATCCAGATAATCTAGCTAGAACATGTTTTGGATGTTTAGTTCAATCTTGTTATGTTGAACAGCTTTTTATTAGTAAAACATTGCTATGGATCTTAAGTGTCATATTTTTTCATCGATCGGAAAGACAGAGTCATGCAACACATGGTTTGATTTATTATAATTACTATGATATTCGAAATTATTTAATCATGCTAAAGACAACTTCTACTACAATGTTTGCAAAGGTCAGAGCAATTTGTTCTTTTTAACCGAGTTCCCAAAAAGGAAGAGGTTTTTATTGAAAAGATAATAATTTATATCACTTGTTATGTCATCATCACATCAGACCTCTGCTACGTCATCATCTTCTTCCTATTAAACTGTCAAACACCAAGCGGTCACCGGTGACCGCAACCTATTGTTCTATAATTGTGTCTACAAAACCGGTACTCGACGAGTTAATATAAGATCATTTTGATCAGCCACCCTTGTTTATCGTTTAACCTCTCACCTGATTCCTCCTCGAGTGGTATCAGCGTTCAGAGCTCTGCCCTCATGCAGCCACGTCAGCAAGGCAGGAGTCTCCACGTGTCTAGCTCTGCACAGCAACGCCAGGGTCGATTCAGCCTCGTAGTACTTTTCCAGTAGTGGGGCACCAGCCTCGTCTACTACCCACACTTGTGGTGCTGGGAAGAAAAATAAACATTTATAGAAACAGGTGGCAGACACTAATTTAATATAGGATATAATACAGACAAGAGACTGAAGGTTAAGCTCAGTAACGTGCTATTAGAGAGGCCCATGAACAACGTCTTAATATCGATGAAGAGGTCTTTTTCAAGCAGTGAACGAAAATAGACAGACGATGATCATAATCACCACAAGCAGAAAGAGCCAATTCTATTTATAATTGTAAACCTGGATCGTAAACCTTTGTTCCATTGTCATAAGTACCATATCATAGGGGAACTATAAACATGACACAATGGCGCATACTATGACAGTATTTTATATGTAATACTTATAAAATACTGTCACAAAGTAGGGTAAACTATTAATAGGCCTTTAACAACCCCTTTGGGATATAAAAGGGGTTTTATAACTACACGTATCACTAATCTAACCACCATAAATATACCACAAAAAGTAATACAATACAAATCCAATTCATAACACCTTCAACTGCCTTAATACGCACGCGACTCGCAACTAACTTAGAGAACTCATTATAACTTTGTGTAGCCATTGATAGAAACTAAGTATTCTCTTCTCTGTGATATTACTCATAACCAACCGCTTCTAAATCTATAAAATCCAACATAACTTGGTCTTGCACTATGTGCATTTTATATGCTACGAGAGGCCAGGTTATGCTGGTGTGTATAACTTGATATGCTGGTAAGCGTACTTATAAATTACTTACGCCTTATCAAAGGATTCTGATTAATAACGATACCGAGAACGTGATTGAAACAGATTCTGTGTAATTAGGGAATGGTTAAAGCTCGCTACGTGTACGTAGGTTGGTTTAATGATTGTGTCTTTTAAATAAATGATTAATGGTTTTGTGCGAATAATATTATAGTCCTCAAATACGGTAGTAACCGACAAAGCAGTCCACTAACACTTATCTTAAATTCAATACTTTAATATTTAAAAATTCTAGGCAATTACGTATTCTACTGCTGACAGAAACATTCACGGAATATCCATCTCAAATAGGCGTAGACATTAATAATGCCGAAATATTGATAATGGCCAGGATCTTTCGGAAGGTTCAATCTTTCGGAATATCCCAAGGTCGAGATAATATCTTGGATGTTGAGCTAAAAGGAGAAAAGACGTTTTGGAAAAGGGTCCCTAGATTTTTAGGTCCAAATAATAGATAGAAGCGATCAATCCGATCTACCTATATCTTGAAACCATTTTTTCGTGCCAAACCAAAATTTACTATTATTTTATCTTTTTGTCTATTTTTTTGGTTGTTGAGTGCCGATAAGAATTGGGTTTCGGTAGTAACTCTTTATCTTTGTTTTTTGATGGAAATATTGGGAAACGTTTCAGGCATTTAGGTTTTTCAGTAAAACAAGTGGGAAAATATTTTTTGTTCATATCACACTAGGCGAGATAGAGTGGGCAAACGCCGACCCATATCATATAAAAAAATAGATAACAACATTTTTATAAGCAAGTAAAAACATAAATAATATGTATGTATATTCATAGGATGGCTGAAAGAAGAGTAACGAAAGAAGTATACAGAGCGGATATGAATGGGGCCGTCAGTAGAGGGCGCCCTAGACGGACATATAGTGACCAGATTGGCGATATATTAAAGAAGGGCCAAATTAAAAGTACCCTTAACCGACGAGCATGCATGAAAAGATTGATTACTGTTGATGAAGCGAAGGAGGTATGGAGGAATCGTAGTAATTGGCGTTCCCTAGTCTCTTGACTACCCCCATGGGAGACAGGCGTGAAGTTATGTATGTATGTATTCATAAAACTGAAAAACAATCAATTCATGAGAACGCAAATTTTCATGAAGCCATGTTAACATAACAACATTTATCACAGGGTAAAACATATAGGACAAGAAACAAATAAAAAAGGCCAAAAACTATAATAAAAATACTCAAAGAAAAACTACATTTCGAAAAACCATTAATTCAAGTTCACTTATATCAACGGAACCATTAATATCTGTCGAAAAAATATGTTCTAAATGAAAACTTTAATACTTCTTTATGCAAATAAGTTCGCCTCTGGACCGTAACCTTTCCGAGACAGATCTCGTAAAAATGATTTATTATTTCACTAATCACATTATTCAAGTATTTGAATACATTTAATGTAGTTGGAGAGGTGTTAAAGTTCAAAGTTTTTATTATATTCCGCATCAATTATTGCTTGACCCTACCCTTTTAAAACAGCTAATGGACGAATTTAAGTTCATATATTATTAGTTATTTTATTGTGATAGGAGAAGTTGAACATAGAAATTTAATTCTTAAATACCATACTTTTATATTGTTCCAACTTTGAGCTAAATACGACCTTGAATAAAATCATAAAATTTCGTATGAAACAATTATCGTTTCTTACTTGAACTGTCTTCAATATTCTATCTACATATTCTGTCTAAAATTCTATTCGTCAACCTCAGCGCAATGAACAGAATACTCCTTTTTAATACGATCCAATTCACCTCATCATCTCTATTCCTTAATCTCCTCACCATACTGGTATAATTACATTAAGACCATTTAAACGGCATATCCACTCTAAGATTACACCACTTGTTTGTTTTCCATCCAATAACACAGCAATAAAACCTATCGGCTCTTCTGGATCCCGCATAGAAATCTACCGTTTGTCCCATTTCACCTGAACCGACTACAAATGCCTAGATTTTTATGAAAATAGAAAGAAGAGAGGCCTAAATCGATAGATAATAACATGAACCTTGTTTTTCTTGAAGCAATAAGGGTATGTATAATAGTTCCTATAAGTTCCTTCTTATTAGAAGTTTTTTTCTGATAATTTTACACTATTGCCAGAACCAACCACTATGGTACGGAAATGAAACATAATTGCTACCATGATGCGCAAAAATGTCCCAACGACGAGCCTTCTACCCAGGTATTGTTCTAAGCTCCAGTCAAAATTGGCAATACATAACAATATTTCAATAAGTGTCTATTACTCCAAATTGGCTTCATTCCTAAAACAAAAACCTTGTTGTATAAAGCCATGAAATTTTAGAATAACAGAACCTAGTTAGTACGTATTTGATTAGAAAACGATAACAAACATCGAAAGATTTTAGAACCTATTTACAACAGCATACATATGCGTTTGACCCAAAAGATAACATTATCAGAAACAATATTATAGGTTTACATTCAGTAAAAGCATAGAAGCTAATTCGTTTGAAGGTACTCTTGTTAATGCGTGATCCTGTTTCTGAGAAACATCAAAGTTAATGCTTGAGGCGGTGTAATGGTAGCTCTAACTGAATGTGCGGATATAAGATCTCATTGAAATTGGCTTAGAACATTAAATTGTATGTTAACGTTTTTAAGTAAGTACCTATGTAAAGTGTGATATGAATTTAGTTGTTATTTAGTGGAGTATAAATCACAAATTGATCCCCAAAGGGAGCGGTCCATATCCTTTTTTAGGCTAGATCCGGAATAAAGAGGCTGACTGACGTTAAATAGTTATTAATTATTGTTTGATTGAGACTCGAGGGCGAGGTTAAAACATTACCATAATTATTAGTAAAATATTTTCACAGACGAATTAAGTAGATAACTTTAACCCTAGAAAGATAACCATATTTTGACTGTTACAAAAGATAACCATGCGCTTCGGAGGCGCACAAAATATTAATATATTTTTTATAATGAAATACCTATTTATTGTATTTACTTACTTATTTTTTTTTTTTGAAATATGTTTCATGAACTAATAAAAAAAAAACGTTTTAAGTGGAATATTTTAAATATTTTAAAAATAAAACTTAAATCAAAAAATCTCTAGAAAAAATTACCAAAATTAGCAGTCTTCTGTTTACAGGAACACAGTATCAAAAAAAATTTTTTTTTTCTTCTTATAAACGAATTAAGTAATTTCTTACTAACTAATCAACTAAAAAAATTAGTCAAAACTACAATCGTTAGGCTCAAATTTGGTTTGATAGGCATTCAAAACGAACATCATTTTTGTGTTTGCAGCAAACTGTTTTCTTGCTTTTTTATATTAGACATTCTTTTTTTTATTAGTGCAAAAGATGCAATACCGCCTTTTCTTTGCTGGAGGTTCTTCTTCGTTATCTGTATCGTTATGTACAACCGGTTTCGGAAGAATATTAGCGATATTATATCTCACATGCTTTGGCAAAGTAGGAGCTTCCAGTCTTTCCTACATCCACGATTCAGATAACTGGCTCTTAAGTTTTTCATATAACCCCTTCTATTTAGAGGCTTTTCATTTTTAGCAAGAATGTTGTGACAATATATAACATAAGAATTGACGAATGCTATGTTCAGAATGCCATAAAACATACACATTGGCCATCTATTGGTTTTCCTCGAACACGACATTGAAGAACACATTTGGTCAAAATTCCAGTGAGCTCTGAAGATACAGATGGACTTATATCGTCTTCATTTTGTGTATCATTCAATTGTTGTGGCACCTCATCATCTATAAACTCGTCTTCGTAATCACTCTGTATGTCATCTTCACTACATTTCCTTGCTCTCGTTCATGCTCGTTCTCTTCCTCTTCAGCGATAAACCTATGTATTGCACCATCAGAAAGTGTCCTCCGGCTCGTCATAATGAAAGTGAAAAGATTTTCTACTATAAACAAAGAAATAAACAGTTAAAATAAACATTTTATGTAAGTATAAACAAGTTCATACTTTTACTAAAAGTCACACAAAAGATAACCATGCGCCTTTGGAGCGCAACACTTGGTAATAACTGCAAAACTATGGTACTTACCGCGTAAAAACGGCCGTCCCGCGACTCAGTGCACCGACCACTGAGCTAACTTAAAAGGACAGGTAGATACGCGCGCTCATTAGAAAAAGACAGCGATGTTAAACCGACGAGGGCGCCTCTGAAGCGTAGGTTATCTTTCTAGGGTTAAAGTCACTTTTCACTAGTCCCAAAACTCCCAAATTTTGCCGTAGTCAAGTCAAATTCAAAGCATTTATTTCTATTAAACCACAATTTGGTACCTTTGAAACGTCAACAGATACACAGATAAGTAAATAAATAAGGTCTGTCAGTCAGTCTGTCAATGAAGCCAGGTGAAGCTAGGTGCTCATTTCAAAATGTTCCTAGATTCGAATGGAGAAGAACGAGCAAGAAACTCCATTAGTAATTCTTTTTAAAAAAAATTATATTCTACAATTTCTCTGATACATATTCCAATATTGTACGTATATGTGAGAACAATGCAAAGACATGCTTGACGCATTACTTATACAAATTACAAAACTTACTAAAAATATTAGAAAGGTAGAAGGAGCAACAGGATCATGGGAAAGATCCCGGTCGTACGATTGTCACTACAATTTAAAAGGCTGACGAAAAAAATCCATTGAAAACGATCGCTGCCTATCCCTAAAACCGGTCTATCTAAACTGTCCGATCAAGGCAAACAATCTTGCAGCATCCATGAGATTTTGCATTTCCCAAATGGCCCTTAAAAAGGGTCATAGTTGACCTTTAGGTCGGATACGGTCCTATTCCGGTAAAAAGACTGTCTGGGGGCCTTACAGCGTGCATTATTTATGAGTATGTCATATAAATGACGGAGGGAGGAAAGCACGTGATAGGCTTTATAATTGCCATTCTATGTTATATTTATGTTCAGCTCTTGAGATTAAAGCTGACTGGAATTTTAAATAGGTAGACTGATCGTGAAGGCTTTTTGCTAAATGATGCCCCAAGTTTTGGGGCTTAATACAAATAAATCGCTGGATATATTCTCTAACACGTAGTATCAATCGCTCAGTTTCAGCGTCAGCTGTGCCATCAGATTGCCAAAATGGATCATAAAAGCAACTTTGTCTACTAAAAGTGGGTTCAGGCTTATTTTAAACTTCGTATAAAAATGTTTCAAGTCGATTAGACAATTTCAGATAGTGTTATTAAGGAATTTAGTTCAACATGATTAGTTGTTTGTAATATTTAGAGTTTAATAAACATATACCTCTAGACACCTTAGTTTTCGATACAAAATTGACTTCATATGTGCGAAGTTATTAGTACATACATATATACATCACGTATTTTGTTTCAATTCATCAAAAGGATACGTAAAGGGTGTCTGAAAGTTATTTATCACCTCAAAGAATAATAAGGACGGATTCTAAGGAAAATATCATTAAGGTTGTTTATCGCTTCTTCCAATACGTTTTCGTTTGCAGTCTTTCTAGGATTGTGGTTATAATTTATTACAGTTTAGAATTCTCTACTTTATACTGATTGCAGTAAGGTATAATTTAAACACCTTATAGTTTCATTCTCCAGAGAAAAGACCCTGTTTGGAGGCTTATCCCAATAGCCAGTGAAAAGTGTCTGACCTACATCCTGGTTAACAACGAGGTCAAATTATTTATTTTCATTTAAATTGTTTGCAGATACTTTTAAAAATCGGCCATGAGTTTGTTGATCAATGAGCCATATCAAAATAGCAATTGGGTACTTTACTAAACAAAAAAATAAATTATTTCAACTGTTCAATACAAAAAAAAAATTAATAAAAAACAATCACACTGTCATTAATTAATTTTAAAACTAACTTAATTTTAGTATATTTCCAGCAAATTTTTAAGAAATATGTGTGCTGTTTGACGCTAAAAAACTGTGACGTCACAATACACAATCTTGTACAGAATTCATAGAAAACTGTAGTTCAAAAAAAGTATTGAATTTGACTAGTTTGTCAAGAACCCAATTGATGCGTTTTAATCACTTATTTGTATTTAAAGTTAAGGACTAGATCTGTATGTGTGGTTTTAGTCAGATTAACTACAAATACTAGAGCATAATTTAATATTATAATTGGCATCAACTTCAAAAGCAGACTCATGTTTTTGCAGATAACGAATCCCACGTGTTCGATTCATGAATAGAGCGCTGTGTAGTTTAAATAACAATAATCGTACTCCATTAATATGTATGTTACACTCTCTCTAAGCTATAAACATAATAGTAACTTCTCCTAGTTAATCGGCTTTACTTAGAAAGGCAAACAAATGTTACATTCTGTTTTAGTTAAGGATAGCAGCGAAATAGGTATAATACTTGAGCTCTAGACGTTTTCTTATACATTTTGTTAGTTTCATTTAGGCTAAGAAGGGTTTTATTATAAGTACAAGGTCTGGAATAAGTAATAGTAAAACGTGACTGGTTAGCAAGAGGTACTGGGTATGATCCTTGAAGTGAACAAAGAAATTTTGACTTCAAGGTTTTAAAGAGTAGCATGGAGTGTAATATCAGGTGCGTAGCTGATTTCATTTTAAGAAGGGAAAACCATCGAATGATTTCTCCAGAATGGCTGAGACGGGAGGGAATGTCAGACTCTTACAGACTAAAAACCACCCCGTTCCTACTCCTGCATTTCTAGCCGGAGCCCCGGTTACCTTTTACGCTCTCCGTGACTCAGTATCCGTGACAGTCTGATGACTCTTTGAGAGGCGCGCAGAACGCCTAGCTGTAGGCTTGTTTTTTGTTACGTTATGAAGTATATGACGCTTTTTTCACATTATTTCAGTTAGGCATACGCATGAGTGATAGCGTCTTACTATCATTCTTACTGAAGGTAGGTTCATTGTCCGTTAGGCAACAATTCCAATTGTAATGCTTCGGCAAGAATGGGCCGGCTCGACCGGAGTGATACCACGGCCTCACAGAAAACCGACGTGAAACAGCGCTTGCGTTGTGTTTCGTCGTGTGAGTGAGGTTCAATTACCCCCCTCCCCAGTGTCCCCAATCCCTGAATCCTCCACAATCTTCAAATTTCCAATTCCCAAAAGGCCGGTAACGCACGTGTAACGCCTTAGTGTTCCAGGTGTCCATGGGTGACCCCGATTGCTTACCATCAGGTGATCCGACAGACCGTTTTCCGGTTTACGTAAATAAAGAAAAATGTTTGCAATTCAAACGCCTAATGAAATAACGTTTCTCCTTAGGACCCAAAGAAGAATGTAACCGAGTCTTAACATCACTCAAAGCGATTGAAATAAAAACACCACTTACTATTAATATGCAAATAAGTCCTGCTAACTCTAGGCGGATGAGTAGATATCTGGCACTCGTATACTCCTTCGTCATCAGGTTTCACCTCCCTGATGAGCAGTCTCCAGTTGCCAGGGTACCTTCTGGCAACTGTCACTCGATTATCAGCAGCGTATGTCACTGCTCCTACGGTCAGCAGTTCTGGCATCTCATCTTTGCCTCTGCGACGTACCCAGGACACCTAGAAGGAAAAGATGGTATAAAACATTTGGTTATTGAGGCTGGATTTTGATATTAAGGTTATTTTGTTACTAATTGGTAAGTTATCTTAAAAATATGACTTATTAATACAACTTTTTATAATGTATAATAATATTATCTTTTAACAACTGTAATGATAATTAGTATGAACCATATTATCCAACAATAAGGTGAAAAGCGTCGTGGTGGCCTGGAGGTTGAAGACGCCTACTTCTCATGCACGAGGGTGCGGGTTCGAAATCTACCAAGGGCAAGTACCAATGTAATTTTTACCGAGTTATATGTACTTTCTAAGATTATTTAGACACCACTGACAAACGGTGAAGGAAAACATCGTGAGGAAACCTAGGCTTATAATTTCTAATTATAAGTTTGAAATCGCCAACCCGCATTTAGCAAGCGTAGTGATTAATGGTCTAACCTTCTCCGTGTGAGAAGAGGCTTTGCTCAGCAGTGGGTATTTATAAGCTGTTGATGATGCTAGTGAATGTTAAATAATCGTGTGAATAGTAGTTCGACTTCTAAGGTCTTCTATTTCTACGATCTTCGGATATGAAGAGTTCGCCAACTTAATAGACTGATACCCAATTTAATAGCAAATAATTTCAGACGTAAAATCATATTGGAACTCGAAGAGCTAGATTATCAACAAGTCTAAACTATTATTGACCCTATAACAGACACTATAAGATCTAAAACCGCAACCAATGGTCATTATCATCAACATAAAAATCACGTTTTTGGTGTTAATTCTCAGGTGATTAACCCATCAACGAAACGAGTCTCCAATTGTTGTTAGCTCGTTAAATCTACTTCTAATGGTCTACCATGACATTTCAAAACCTCTCTAAAAGGGAATTCTTCGGGAAAAGTTAAGTGATTAGCCTACATTTACGTCTTCATCAGCTGTTCAGTAAAATAGTTTGAATTTGGTACTAAATCGACTAAATTGGGCTCTTAAAAACATTTGGTTGCTGGAAATTGAGCGAGAGGATAATAATATCTATTAAAAAATAATTTTCATAATTGTTGTCGGCTGTTTGAGATCTTTCTAAATGTGGGAGAGCTATGCTTCGGCACGAATGGGCCGTGTCGACCGGAATGATACCACGGCCTCACAGGAAAATAATGCTTGCGTTGTCTCGTCATCTGAGTGAGGTTACCGGAGGCTCAAATATCCCCCCCCCCCTCTCACATCTCCCGAAACCCTTAGTTCCCAACAATCCTCTTCGTTCCCAATCCGGTTTCATAAAACCGGTAACGCACTTGTAACGCCTCTGATGTTCCAGGTGATCATGAGCGACGCCGATTGCTTACCATCAAGTGATTTCGCAGTTATCGTATTCTGAATTAGGACAACAATTACTGCCAAGAGCGAAACTACACAGAATAAGAAATACCTCAAAAATAACACAGTATAAAGTTAACGTTAAAATTTTGAAAATGTCATTACTAATACAATAACAATATTGACTGCACGGTTGGTGCGGTGGCTGAGCAACCGGCTGCCGTGCAACGTGTCGCGGGTTCGATTCAATCACGGGTGTGATTCACAAATTGTTGTTTCGGGTTTGGGTGTCATGTGTATGTGAACTTGTATGTTTGTAAACGCACCCACGACACAGAAGATAATCATAGTGTGGGGCAACGTTTAAAAAAAAAAACGTACCGTATTTTTAATTGAAGTCATTTTAAAACTTACCCTGACCTCATACTTCGATCGACAATCTAATTCCATATAAGTCATAAATACACGATACAGTTTCTATAAATAATAAACTTAACCATAAAGAATTGAGTTATTTTCTGCGGAATAAACAACGTAGCCTATTATGCCCGCCAGCGAGTTACGTACAAGACGTAATTACAGGTTTTCTTTCCAAACAAATACTGGTTTTGTTTCAGTTTTCCGACTGACAACAGGCCTTAATAAAGTATAATAAGATTAACAACGTAAAACAAAACAATGTGAATAAAAGAAAATTCTTTTGTTTTTATTCTGTAAGAACGCGATATTTAAATGTTGAAATTGTATAATTAGTAGACTTGAACATGATCTCAAGTTTCATCCTTAGATCGGGCAAAGAATCATCGGCATTTTTATAAATTTCTAGAATATGGCAATAAACTCATATACAGCATTGAGAAAAACGAAGCCACACCAAAAAATAACACTTTCATGCCGTAATCAGTCACATCTTCCCAAATATATTGAATCGATTCAAATAATCGACTAATAGGCAGCGTCAATTTGTATCCAATATTGACATGTTATAATCTGTGCTCCATAGACTGTCATCGCAAAATCGTTTATTTATTTTTTGTAAATCGAATGGCGCGGGTTTCACATTGCAATCAAAAAATGCATCGTTTAAAAGTAATCTGATCTGAATTTAAATTTGAATATCGAATTACGTTTGTTTTAGTTTTTAAGCTGTTGTTTTTAATTTGCATTTTGTTTGTTTGGATTAAATAGGTTTAAATGAAATATTTATGCTATCAAAATGTCTTAAAACTCGATATATATATTTTTTGCTAATCACTTTTTATATAGTGCAGTTTACAGTAACGCTATTATATTTATAATTTTTGAATAGACAAATATTATGACTATCAGGACCCATCATTCGAACTTCTAACTTCCAGTATAAACAGATTTCTCACTGCACCTCAGATCTTCCATACTGCGATTTAGTTTATACTGGCATTATATAGGTCCTGTTATTTGACGTCATTTGTCATTCCAACACCATGCAGATGGCAGCTTGTCGTAGTGAACGAAAGGACCTATTGATAATGTTTTGTTCAAATAAAAACTATAATGACGCATTTAAACAGCTGTCAAAAGCAATAATATCTTGCGATATTTTTTTCTGAGCTTGATTATAAGGGGTATTGAAATATATTTTTTTATCAATTTTATTGCTCAATTTTATAGTATGGTTCGGTTGTTGAAGAAGTTGGAAGTAGTTCTGGATCAGATTAGAATGGAGTATAAAATGGTACCCGGTGTTATAAAATGTCATATTTAGAATAAAGCTAGTATCAATAGCACTGGGTGGCTCCCCGAAAGACCAGAAACAGACCCGAGCGTACGACGCGTCGCGTTCCGTTCCGGCCCAATAGGGCCGATGCCGATTCGGAGTCGCGGAGAACCTAACGGGTAACCGGGGCTCCGGCTCGACGTGCAGGAGAAGGAACGGGGTGGTTTTTAGTCAGTAAGAGTCTGACACTCCCTTCCGCCTCACCCAGGCGGGAGCAGTCATTCGATGATTTTCCCGCCTTAAAAAAAAAAAAAAGTGTCAATAGCACGTTGGCGTTGGTAATTGCGATTTTCGCGGTATGATACAATAAAACATTAAAAAATAATCACATGTTCATTAATTGGTTTTAACCAACTTAATTTTAGTATTTATAAAGCATTTTTTAAGAATTAAGTTTGCTGTTTGACGCTTAAAAAACGTGACGTCACAATACACAATGTCCTACAAAATTCATAGGAAACTGTAGTTTTTGACAGTTTGAAAAAAGTATTCAATTTGACTAGTTGTCAAGTATATTTATGAACCCAAATAATATGTATCTTAATCATTTATTTTAATCTTCTCTGAATACCAAATTACTACCTTGGTCACGTATTTTGCTAGGAATTTTTATGCAGTTAATTAATATTAAGAAGTACTTGATTTCAAAATATAGAGGTGAGTTCGTAGTCAAATCGAATTACAACAATGCAAAACTTGTTTAGACGAAACAAGAAATATTTCTTTTATTACACAAGATAATGAATGCTGAGTCAACTGCTTGGTATTATATTTGGAATTATTGGAAGTATTTTTGGGATTATTGGAAGTATATTTGTTATCAAACTGAATGAAATATAGGTAAGTAAGAGATGAATAAATGTAATATAAGTGCACGCTTTTTACACCCGAAGGGGTAGACAGAGGTACACTCTACACATTTAATGCCACTATGCAATGTAACACCCACTTTTCACTATTTATTTTATGAGTCCCATATAATAGGGGGTGAGTCCCTTTGCCGTATACCGGACACAATTCCAGAGTCCGTGTTAATATTGAGAATGTTTAAACAAAACTCAGTAGTACTTTGCCCGACCCGGGAATCGAACTCGAGACCCTTTGCCCGGCAGTCGCATTTGCAACCACTCGGCCAACCAGGCAGTCTATTTTATACTTATGAAATAATTAATTTTGAAATTAATTGTTCATTTTAATATTCTTTCCTCTTAAACCTTCGATACAATTTTTAGGATTAGGTATCACTTTGAGATTAACGAAAAATTATTCTAGCTCTTCCTATTTACTCCCAAAACACTAGTTTATCCTATCCCATTACAGATTAACTTAAATTAAATAAAATATTAATATAACACTACCCTTCGGGACTTAATCCAGCCAATATTTAAAGTGTGGATAATTTTCTCCTATAAATTTTAGCAGTCAATTAATAATCTGTCCTAACAGCTCCCTGAACGACCACTTTCTGTACAATGGCGGTTACAATTCCAATAATGGAACTAGGTGGCGCCACTGAGCTGACAATGGTTTCTGTCGCTACCACAATGGATTTTAAGTCGCTCTTCAGCTGATTGTTCCATTACGTATAGATGAATAGATACTTCTGGTTGTTAGTTTGTGGTATTCTAAGTTGTGTTGTGCATTTCTAGGTTCGTGTATAAAAAATGAAGTAACTGATGATGATCATAGTCTTAGTGTCGTTGTGGCCTGGGGGTTTAATACGCCCGCTGCTCATGCATGAGGGTGCAGATTCGAAACCTACCAACGGCAAGTACCAATGTGACTTTTTCCGAGTTATATGTACTTTCTAAGATTATTTAGACACCACTGACGAACGGTGAAAGAAAAACATCGAGAAACTTGGACTTATAATTTCTAATTATAAGTTTGAAATGGCCAACCCGCATTGAGCAAGCGTGGTGATTAATGCTCAAACCTTCTCCGTGTGAGAAGAGGCTTTGCTCAGCAGTGGGCATTTATAGGCTGTTGATCATAGTCTAAGAGCTTGTGTGCTCATTTATTTTTAATTCCTTGCGTAGTCTAGCCTGACGTCAACTGTGCCAGTCACCTAACTGATGTTAAAGTTTTAATTTTAAGTCGATATAGCTAATTTATTTAAAGTACGAACTAATTCTATAGTTACAATGATATTGTCCTCGTGGGAAGGACAAGAAATAAATTTTTCGATCGAATTTTTGGTTGCAGATCCCATGATTCAGGTGATTTAAACCTAGACAATTTTTGGCCTAGGTAACCAAGAACCAGCACTAAAATACCCGAATACCACGAAGAAATTAAGTAGGCATGTAAATTTATAGTGAAAATTCTCACTACTACTTACTTCGCAAGTTTAGAAGTGTCTTAAACGAGAAGCCTTGGAATGAGATTTTGTAAAACGTCATGTTGTTTAATGGACGCGACTAACGAAGTGTGTAAAGTAATAGTCTGGCGCGTTCGGCTAAGTCCGTATCTCTTCGGGTCTCTCCGGCTCTCCGTATAAAAGCTGCTTGCTAAATAAATAATGACCTTTTCTGCTACATTATTAATTACGTTTCGTTCGAGCTGATTTGGGAGTAAACGAAAAAAGAATATGGCGCCCGATAATCTCGTGTTTCTCGATTTAAATAGAACTAGTTGTTACACTAAATGTAAGTGCTGTTTTGGTTACAATGCGTGGATTTAAATAATGTTTATTTAGCACGGTAATGATTATTAAAGTATTCCACATTTTGCAATGTACTAATTCTGGTGAATACTTTATTAGATGATGGACTTGCTGAGTATTTGAGGAATACAGCAGTTTGTACGATTGAAACTTAGATACCACAAGTGCGTTATAACATCATCATCATTATCTACAGCCAATAAGTGCCCATTGCTGGGCAAATCCTCTTCTCGCACGGAGAAGGATTAATCAGAAATCCTAAGCACAGGTTTCCTCACGATGTTTTCCGCGTTATCACAATAAGATAGAATTATAACTGATCACACTTTACGCCAGTTAAGCTTGATGGAAGTCCATATGTGAGATTACCCACTTTTTTCGCCTTGAAATAAAGAAGAATCTAATATTAAAGTTTATGCTGCGATAAAAATTCATGAGCCTATTTATATATCCTTATTTCCTTATATGGATACGATAAAACCATTATTTTCCACGTATACTCAAACGATGAGTATGTAATTTTATTTGAATACGTGTAAGTGGCGAAGGAACCATTTGGACGCTGTAGAGAAGAATTGCTTATTAACTAGTAACTGAATATAATAATGGTATAAGTTAAAAAGAACACCATAGACTCGGTTGAGGATTTATATTTATGAAAGAAAGCGATTTGTTAGCAAATAATCTAACCAATTTAAGTCTGTCTTCAAAAGAAGAATTAGCAAATTCCATTCAGAATAAAATAAAAATTGACTTGAATTAATTAGGCCTCAATTCCCAAAACAGAAGCTTTTAATCTAGCCTATGTAAAATCTAAACTTAAACACAGTGTAACCAGGGGTAGTAATTAATTTCACAAAGCTAACTGAATGAAATTGTTTGAGCGAAACAGAATAATGCTAACTTTATTCAACAAAATGTTTAGTACCACGCTACCAGAAACCTGAATATATTAGCTGTTCAAAATTATGGGCAACTACAATCTAAATGGTGTCCGTTTGTAAGAAGGAGCTTGTCTTATCGTGGGTGCAAACACGCTAGCCACTGAACAAAGCAGCACATCAAAATATACTCCCAATATTAGCTGACCTCGCAACGTGCACAATCTGCATACAGCTAAGGTTCAGTTTATATTGGTATGCTAGTGCTGTAAGCAGTTCCTGTTACATGAACTGTTAGCCCAAAACAGTATTCCCACGCAATATGCTCGTTTTGGCTGTAAAAGGTTTAAAACTAGAAGTGGTTAGTAGTTATATGGGATTACGGTAACGTATTCTTTAAAATGAATCAGTTTTGTGAAGTTAGTTCTTGACTTGGTATCGACATAAGACTGTCTAAGATGATGGAAACTTTGATAAATTGTCAAAATTGCATTCATTTCTCTATTTGAGAAGAAAATTACACGATGTGGTATAGTAAAACTATATTAAGGAGAATGAATCAACCAAATTGTCATTCACAATAGAACTAACAACGATATTCAATACTTAGATTAAACTTTCGTGATGCATACTTAATTAAATATTATGTTTTCAGGTCGTAGCAGCGTGACAGTCACCGCGTTGCGGATCATGGAATCCTGCTCATGAATATGAGCGTCTAGCAGGACTTGAAACTAGTCAAGTTCCTCGTCAAATAGTTACGTGTGTAAACCGAAATCAGATTTAGATTTCAGTCTACAAATTAAAATCCTATTAAGATTTCAATTCAGTTTAAATACTTATATAATTACAAAGAAAAATCAAGTCCAACTCACCGTTTTATCCTGCAGCAAACTAATCCTGCAATTTAAATGCGCATCCTCTCCTAATTGCACCGTAATTTTAGTGATGTTCCCGTCAGGAGCATCTTCAAAACTGGGCCCATATTTTCTATCATGGTCAAAGTAGGTGTTCTTGAGCACCACATGTGGAACCATGTCTATCTTCATTGGCTTCTCTGTAGAAGGATCCTGGGAAGGCTGTGGGACCTTGAAAGCTTTTGTGCTGTCTATGGTGGAGTTCCCAAGCCTTAACATCACAGGAGCTGGTACGATGCCGGTGCTGAGCGCGTAGAATGTCGTCACCGTCGGTGATTCTTCTGTAGTAGGTGTTGTTGGGTTTTCTGGGGATAATTATGGTGATTAGTATGTTAGTAGATTGATGTGAGATCCTCTGATATATTTCTTACCCTGATTTAAGTACTGGTGAACTTTGTTGTGATACATTTCTTAATAAGATTCAACATACTTCAAATCACCATTATACAACACAGTCTACGAATACTCACTAGATTAGTTCTAGAACTCGCAGTTTATGTTCATTAGATAAAGAAGCAGGTTGAATTAAATGAAAAAAAACAAAGGTTTAATTATACTAAAAAAAGTTATTTGATTTAACATTTTCATTTTCATCATTGTTTTAATGAAAGATTACATTAATATAACATGGAAGTCGTGACTTCGTAGAACTGAAGTCCTCAAGGCAAAATACAAAAAGTACTTTTTTGGAGTTTCATTTTACATTAAAAAGAGTGTGTTTATTATTTTAAACGTAACAGATATAGCTGTGACGTAGCTATAGAATGAATTTAGTGAAAAATTTCATGAATATGATTATTTTTAAGGTAGTTTTTATTATATATCTATTATTCTTATACAGTTTCCGAGAATATAGGTACTATTTATCAGTTATTTATAATTCATGTTTAGAATAGTAATAATCGAATGGGTCGAATTATTTATAATTGAATTGGTCAACCGACACTAAACGTATTTTCTGTTCATTACTAATTTACTCTTCATAATCTAATTTCAATGTTTAACATCTTTATGAAAATTAATGAAACTCATAACATTAGTGACGAATATTAAAACTTTCAAAGGTTCGATTCTCGTAAGTCCATATAGTAAGGGCAAAATAAGCAGCTATTTTAAACAGTAAGGATATCGTTTGCTTTTTTGTTTCAAATTGATCCTTACCTGTAGTGAATTGACACACGACAATCTGTGTAAGGAAGAACACGCTCGCACTCCACATAGCGCCTGGCCGAGGCTCAGCCCCCCGCAGGGCTTCATAATCTGAAACAAAACATATAAAAATTTAACTTATGATGTAGTTTATTACACTTATATGGTGGAGGATTACTGGTGCCACTATCTCGCCTGGTGGTATGCGATGATGCGGTCTACGATGGATCACGTCGTCCCATAAGCAACCTATTCACTCGGGCCTTGAAGACATCCAGGAAATACAGACTCTGGCAAAGAATTCCACCCCTTAGCAGTACGCACAAGGAAGCTGGATGCGAAGTACTTCATGCTTGTGGGTGGGACACATCACATCACATCAACAGCCTATAAATGCCCACTGCTGAGCAAAGCCTCTTCTCACACGGAGAAGGTTAGATTTTTAAATTCAAATTCAAATTCATTTATTTGCAAGAATACATAGGTATTTACAAAGGAAGATCTTACAGCCTCAAAGTTATTGAGCATTAATCACCACGCTTGCTCAATGCGGGTTGGCGATTTACAAACCTATAATTAGAAATTATAAGCCCAGGTTTCCTCACGATGTTTTCATTCACCGTTTGTCAGTGGTGTCTAGATAGTCTTAGAAAGTACATGTATCTCGGAAAAAGTCACATTGGTACTTGCTGTTGGTGGGTTTCGAACTCGCACTTTCATGCATGAGAAGCAGGCGTCTTAAACCTCCGGGCCACCACCACAATGTGGGTGGGACATCTACCATAATTCGGTGACGCCTCGCCGATTGTATTGTGGTAAGATGATAGAAAGGTAGTGGTTTTTTTAACAGGAGAAAGTCATCGAATCGAAGCGTCAGTCTCTTACTGTCTAAAAACCACCCTGTTCCTACTACTGGACTTTGAGCCGGAGCCCCGGCTAACTTTTACATTCCCCGCGGCTCCGTATCGGTATCAGCTCTATTGGGCCTCATCCGCGGTGGTCTGATGGCTCTATTGGGCGAGCGCGGCGACGTGCAGGGTGTGTGTAGTACAGATATAGATCCTAAACTTGTATTCATTCTATGATACCTAGAAAACCTAGTAGCACACGCAGTTTCTTTCTATCATTTGTTAAAAATGTGTAACTGAAAATCGATGCTACTCAAACCTAAACGCTACCACGTTAATATTCTCCCCAACCTCTTCAACCATTACATTCGTCTAAATATAAAAAGGGCTCCTCAAATCAAGTTAAAGGCTTACAAGCCATGATAAGTTAGCAAAACCTTTTGTTTTCGTATTTTACTTTAAGATTAACGTTGAAGGTGTACCTCTGAAACAAAACATCCCCAATTAGACTAATTACCTTATCTGTTCTTATCTTTCCCTTAAAATTTTCGCAAAACATTTTTCTTGTAAGGATTTCTTGGATATTATATACATTGTACTGTAGAGGTACATAGAACCCACTTTATTTCATGTTGTTGTTTTTTTTGTTGTGGTATTGTTACCACAAGTTATTGTTAGCAGATTTCGTGTATGAACATAATTGTTTGATAGGTGTGGGAGAGCCATGCTTCAGACCGAATGGGCCGGCTCGACCGGAGTGATACCACGGCCTCACAGAAAACCGACGTTAAGCAACGCTTGCGTCGTGTTTCTACCTACACTTCCTAAATCTCCCCAATTCCTGAATCCCCAACGATCCTCAAACTCTCAATCCCCAAAATGCCGGTAACACACTTGTAACGCCTCTGGTATTCCAGGTGTCCATGGGCGACGCCGATTGCTTACCATCAGGTGACCCGTCCGCTCGTTTACCGGTTTTTGACATAAAAAAATGGGTTATCATCTTAAGACCCGTATTGTTTAATGTATTTAAAAGAAATATATTTATATTATTGTATTGACTACCTCGTTGAATGAGTGGTCGCAAGTGCGATTGCCGACCAAGGGTCTTGGGTTATTTTACTTGGTTTTGTTTTTTTTTAATCTCAGTAGTAGCACGGAGTTTGGAATTGAGCCCTGTATATGGCAATCCGCTTACCCCCTGTTCCATGAGACTAACAACATATATTGTGAAAAGTGGGTACATGTACATTGTACAGTGGCATTAAGCGCCGTAATGTGTAATATTTTTTTTTAATGTTTTTTTTTAAACGTTGCCCCACATTAGGATTTTCTCCTGTGTCGTGGGTGCGTTTACAAACATACAAGTTCACATATACAATGACACCCAGACCCGAAACAACTATTTGTGGATCACACAAAGTGTTGTTCCGTGCGGGAATCGAACCCGCGACACGTTGCACGGCAGCCGGTTGCCCAGCCACCGCATCAACCGTGCAGTCATGTTAATGTGTCAATGATCTTTGTAATACTAAGCTGAAAACGCTAAGAGTAAAGATAAGAAAACTAAAGTATTTTTTTACTTATGAGTACCTATTCATTAAATATAGAAATAATGCTGTAAAGGTCACAGAAAATGCCAAATTCCTCCATCGCAATTATTAACATTGAGCCTTCAAAATAATATTAAGCAGAGGTGCACATTATGCCACCGTGCAATGTAACACTCACTTTTCACTATTTATGTTATGAGTCCCATGTAATAGGGGGTGAGCCTATTGCCATATACCGCGCACAATTCCAGACTCCAGACTGAGATTTTTTTTAAACCCAGTAATACTTTGCCCGACCTGGGAATCGAACTCGAGACCCCTTACCCGGCAGTGGCACTTGCGACCACTCGGCCAATGAGGCACTTGTAATTCCTCTGGTGTTCCAGGTGTCCATGGGCGATGTCGATTGCTTACAATCAGGTGATCCGTCTGCTCGTTCACCGGCTTATGCCGTAAAAAAAAAATAAAAAAAGTACATAAAAAATTCAACAATATTTTTTCACCAAACTGGACCTTAATTACAAAAAACGCGTAAAATAACTAAGTTAGTTAGTACCGTGGACCGTCAATCATTCTTTTTAAAGGAATAGAGTTGACCGTAAAAATAACGAGTGTATTTTTTTCTCAACGTAACTTTTACTGTCCTTGGCTTAAGCAATTAAAAGTTTGGAAAAAGTAGTCGCTCTGTTTTTTTTGTGTCTTTTTTTCGTTGTTTTTTTATCCTTTTTTTGTGACCGCCCTCGTCGGAAATGTGGTTGAAAATGTAACCCTGACCTTCGTAGTAAATAAGATGTAATTGAAAATAAATATTGTAGAAAACTTTTCTTCTGTTCCTTGTTCTAAGAAGAGAATTCTTAAACAGGTTTTCCTGAATTTTAGGTATCAAATTACTTTGGAGAATTTGCTACGAACTTACTATATATTTTTTCGCAACCCTACCAGTACAATTTCTATATGGCATTACATCATGAATGTGCTTAATGATTGAAGTGTTTTATGCTTTTGTCTCTAATCTTAAGTCTTAATCTTTTAAGTGTGGGAGAGCCATGCTTCAGCACGAATGGGTCGGCTCGACCGGAGTGATACCACGGCCTCACAGAAAACCGACGTGAAGCAACGCTTGCGTTGTTTTTCGTTGTGTGAGTGAGGTTACCGGAGGCCAAATTACCCTCTCCTTCCCCAATCTCCCCAATCCCTGAATCCCCAACGATCCTCAAACTCCTAATCCCCAAAAAGCCGGTAACGCACTTGTAACGCCTCTGGTGTTCCAGGTGTCCATGAGCGACGCCGATTGCTTACCATCAAGTGATCCGTTGCTCGTTTTCCGGCTATACCATAAAAAAATCTTAAACTGAATCCAATTGACATTCACAGCTCCAACGAAACTGATGATTTTGTGTGATTTTTAATACATAGTATTTAAACTGTCAAACACCAAGCGGTCACCGGTGACCGCAACCTATTGTTCTATAATTATTGTGTCTGTATTGACGGTACTCGACGAGTTAAAGCCTTATGTCCTCTAATATAAACCATAAAATAAATAACTTTAAAGATGTTACTTAGCCACAAACGCTCAACTTTAAGATTTATCGACGGAAATATATTAATTTAAAGACTTGGAACTGTTTTAATTTAGCTTGATATTCGTGGTTTAATTTGGATATTTTACTTAGTATTGAGTTGGGAATTTGTATTTAAATAAGTTGAGTGCCAGGTTAAATCTCAGGCTTTTAAGTATTCATCGGAAAGTTTATTAGAATCCTTTGTGATTAGTTTGGGAGGTATATATAGAACAGCTATTTTGCGGCGGTCTATATTGTCTTATAAGAAGTGGAAGAATGGACACCGAATAATTATAATTTCATTTTCATTTTCAGTACTTATTTACATGTTGTATAAAAAGGATATAAATAAACATTTAAACTTAAAAGTAAACTAAAATTACTAGAGAAAATGAAATAAAAGAAAACTTGAACTAATTATTTACAGAGAGCATCAAAAAATTCGTCCGCATCGACGTCAATAGGAAAATGATAAAATACTCTATTTATGACTGCCTTGTTGGCCGAGTGGTTGCAAGTGCGACTGCCGGTCAAGGGGTCTCGGGTTCGATTCCCGGGTAGGGCAAGTATTACTGGGTTTTTAAAAAAAAATCTCAGTAGTAGCACGGAGTCTTGATTGTTCCCGGTATAATTATGGCAATAGGCTCACCCCCTATTGCATGGGACTTATAAAATAAATAGTGAAAAATACATTGTACAGAGTACATAATGTGCACCTCTGCCTGCCACTGCGGGGATAAAAGGCGTGATGTTATGTTTTATTTATGAATATATCGAAACGGCTGATCGACCTATCTCGTGTCCAGAGGGCAGGTCTGTTTCTCGGTCAGAGGTTAAGCATTGTCATGCCACGTGGTAATGCAGCCAGCCTTCTGGGCACTTTCCCGATGAATTTAAATTTAGAAATAAACAACGTATCAAAGGACTTTTAAATTATTTGTTTTTTAAGAGACTGAAACAAGTAGAAGCCTATTTTGCAAGAAGAAAATCACATTACGTGGGCCTTGAGCCAAATTTTTCATACGATAAGAACAACGCAAGTATAGGATGCTTACTTAGGTTAATCCGTCAAAACAAGATGTTTGTCAAAAAACATAGGTGCAAATCCCTAGCATTACGCCTGCCTACTGAGAAAAACAAATTTA